TATATATATATATATATATATATATATATATATATATTACTATAATCTAGTGGAACAGAAATGCAAGCCATGATAACAGCAGAGATCATATTTGTATTTATGGCCTCACAGCAAACTGTATGAAATAAAGGAATAATGACCTGAATCACAAGTCAATAGGAATTACTCAGTCTGAAATGCCAACAAGAAAAGGAAACATGACATCTCTTTCTGTTTTGCCACTTTTCTGGCTTTTGCCTCTGCATGATCACAGCATAGATTTATCAGACACTTGCTAATGTGAAGAATCCTTAAAACACAAAAAAGCATTCTTGCTTAATCAGGGTCTTCTAAGGCTCTTTCTACTCATTTATATGAATCTCAACATGTATGTTATTAATTTACCCCATTGATGTACACCTCTCTTAAGAGTTTTAGCTTGTTCTGGCTAGGTTTGCTGTCACCTCAGGCAGATGGAGAGACTATACAGTCCCTGCCTTCACTTTTCTTTCATAAAATCTACTAGAAAGAGACAAGCTGCCACTGAAGAGTGAAAACATATTTCATCAGTGAGACTCAGGGAAAACTCACTTTTTGTAGTTCCTCGTTTTATATGCATGAATTCAAAAAAAGCATCTAGAATCCTGCATAGAGTCATGACAACTGTCACGTCCTGTATAGGGTATGGTAGAAACTTTCTATGCTTTTTCAGAAATTTCATCCCTTCTGCAACACTTCTGTTAATCATCAATTCAAGACACTGCATTCCTTGTTGACTTATACTTTTTGAACTTTTCAGAAGCCATGACTTAATGTAAGGCTCCCATCCCAGATCAACAGGGTCCTAGTAATACAAAGCAAAAGAAAAATCTTATGTAAATACAAATACAGCATTATTTTTTTTTTTACTTCATCACCTACCTGTGGTTAGATTTAGTATTATTTAAAGCTAAAACAACAACAACAACTACAACAAGCTAAAGAAATCACAATTTTTGTAATGACTTTGGATTTTAACCATGGTTTGAAAAGAAAACAAGCACTGGATCTGAGCCGGGAGATGGCCTGGCAGTGCATTAGCTGTAAGGAAGAGATCAGTGGAGGCAGCCCCAGCTCTCATTCTAATTGACATCCCAAATTAGGTGGATTAGAGAGCCAATCATAGCTGCTAATGACTTTCATGTATAGAATTTTTGGGGTTATGTTTTCTACTTCCACTGTCTTGGTGTAGAGGAATTTAAATCCAGCAATATGGCTGCTCTGGCAAGGGACCTTATAGGTCTATATCGTCTGAGTGGAATGAAGACACACCCTGGATTACAGTATGATCTGGCTGGAATACAGACATGCCCTTAATAGGGCATATCCTTTAATCCCAAGCAATGAAGGTAGAGTTAGTTTGTAAAAGGATGAAGTCGTGTTTGAAAGTGATATCTAATTGAAGGGCAGACAAAGTGATTAATGAGAGAAAGATTTGACAGAATGATTCAGAACTAGGATATGCCCAACTCTCATGAGAACAGATAGGAAAGAGAGGTGACTTAAGAACAGCTCAAAGTGAGTCAGGAAAGGGAAGCAGTTCAGGGAATGCAGTTGAGTTCAGACAATGCACTGGACTTTAGTTGGATCAGTGCAGAGAGAATCTTTTGTGTACTGTAAGGAATACAAAGCTGATCTGGCTAATATGCTGATGGAGGAAATGAAAAGGGGGAGTTCCAATAGGGAGAGAGGAACTCTGGGATAGGGTCAAGGATGGGCAAGATTTTTCCATAACTCTGAGGTGACAGATGCATAAAACTGAGAAGAGGGAACCAGCCATTTGGCATTCATAGAAAAACAGGTTAAGTACTCAGAGAACAAGCCGTAGCTTATGGCTAGGCATTTATTTGTAGCAGGAGGTATTGGAAAATGAACCCACAGACTTCCTGTGCCAGAGTCTGGCATTGGCTGGCTGCAGGCCCATGACCCACGAGATGTTGGCGGGGCTGCTGGCTCTGCAGGCCAGCTCTGAGGCCTCCATGGCTCTAGGCATGCCCTCTGGGCCAACTCTGTCATTCCCACAGAAATTGGCTTAGCCTCAGACAGTAACCACCATCCTCGTGCTGAGAAATAGCAATACCTAGTAATCCAGTAATCCAGTAAAACTCTAACGTTTAAGAACAACCAAATCGATTTAGATATTAGCAAATACTCAATACGCATGATGCCCACACAGTCTGAATTGTTATCCCAAGTATCTGACCTTTTGATATGCTACTCAAGACTGCTACAGACACATGGGTACACGTCTGAGGCCATTTTGCCTCTCTCATTCTCTTCTGCCACCTCTTAGCTCTGCTTCCCTCTTCCCTGTCCAATGACAGGGCTCCCATTGTAAATACATTGGGCAGGAAATTTCTGCCACATTTATTCATATATAATTAAGTCTCAGAGTCATTCTTTTGGGAACTGGGGTGTGGGTAGAAAGTCCATGGTTACAAATCAGTTCAGTCAGTGTAGTTTGTGAAGTGCAGTTGAGTTCAGTTGAGTTTCATTGGTGAGTTCTGTTCAGTTTGTGCAGTTTGTGCAGTGTAGGTCAGCAGAGGCAGTTGAAGCCAGAGAATAAAAAGAAGCCAGGCAATTAGAACAAATTGCCAGAGTTAGTTTGAGGCCAGTGAGAAGCTTAGAGAAGCCAGATGGAGTCTTCCAGCTTGGAGAGGAGTGTGAGCCAAAACAGCTGAGTTGAACCAGCCAGCCAGAGTTCAGAAAGAACTATAAACGGTGAGCATAATCAGCAGTAAGTCTCAAAAGCTAAAACATTCTGGGCCTAGATTAGATTCTACATAAGCTAGAGGCCTCCAGGCCTAGGCCTAGGGATAGTTAGTACTCTGGGCTCAGCCCAAGCTGTGTATTTGTACAGCTGGGGTATGGCTCTTATCACATCCCATCATCTGTGGAAATAAAATAGACTTTTACATCTTGGAAATGTTTTCCCCAAATTCTGAGAGTCATACAGTAAAAAAAGGCTTCAGGGGAATCTTTCCTTTGCTGGCAAAATAATTCATATCAATAGCCTAATGTGTTTGTCTGAAATACTGATGCTCTAGCTTCCCAGTGTAGTATTAGTGACTGTATCACCTCTGAATTATGAAGCTTTGGGGTCACTCCACTGGGACAAGTTTTACTTCTTGTAAAACAAATTGATAGGAGTAGTCGCTATCCTCAACATTCCTCTGCCAAGGACCAGGTTTGAAAACTTACCATGTATACCACTGCACAGCGGGTGACAATAGAGGGTGTGGAGTTAAAGAGAGAGTCTGATTCAAAGATCACTCTGATCTTGTTAGTCAGGCTAATCCTTTCGCTGTTTGCCAGGCACAGTGTTCTAGTTTCATCAAGCACAGTGTTTAGATTCTCTATCCATAAGATGTCAACAGGGCCATCTAAAACAATCCATTGCCAATCAAAATCTAGGAAGAAAAATATTTTTAATGCAGCTAAGACTAAGCTCAGACTTCTTTTATGACAATATTAAAAAACTTTCTATTTTGTTAGAAAATGGTTCCCTTTTTGTGCATATATGTATGTGTGATACACATATGCACATGTGTATATACACATTTGCATGTACATACATGTGTGAGGGTATGTGCGCATTTATGCATGCATATGTGTAGAGGGTCAAAGTTGATGTCAGGTGTCTTCCTCAATAATTCTCCCTCTTTATTCATGGAGCCAGGGTCTCTCACTTGGTAATTCTGTCTGGTCTAGCTAGCCAGTTTGCCCCACAGGTCTCTTATCTCTGCCCCCTGAGTATTGAGATTGTAGATTCATACTCCCTTGGCTTCTTTTTTTTTTTTAATTTCTTTTTTTTTTTGAACATGAAATGCTTTTTTATAGCATGTTTTACAAGGGGAGGGGGTAAGAGGGTCCAGGTGGTGGAAAAGTACAAAATCTTCTTGGCCTGTGCCTTGAAACATGTCATGGTCTATATGGTACACTGCCTTGAATTATGATCTACCTGCAGTTCTTCAGAAGATATGGTACACTGCTTGAGTTATGGTCTCCCTGCTATTCTTAAGAAGACATGGTACTCTGCTTTGAGTCTATCTGCAGTTGCTAAGCAGGATCTTGCAGTTGCCAAGCTTCAGAGGAACTCCCTTGGCTTCTTAATTAGGTTCTTAATTAGAGATCTGGATTCCAGTCCCACGAATGTATGGCAAGTGCTTTATCTACTGATCCATCCCTCGGCCTCTAGAAATTATTTCCTAAGATGAGAACATTGTCCCAGATAAGAACGAGTACCATGCTGGACATTCTCAGCTTTCATGAGTGGGATTAATGCCCTTATAAAAGAGGCTAGCTACTTTCATGTATACTCTTCAGTATTCGTTAACTGTCAGTAAATATACTATATACTTGTAATTGCTTTAAGCACTTTCTTTAGATTGATGACATGCATAACTAATTCTTAAAATCTGGATAGGAGAAGACAAATAGTTCCATATTTTTTCAATGATATGATTTGTGAATTTGCATCTTCTACTCAGGAATAATTTCTAGGCATGCTGTTTCTAGAAAATGTCAAAGGAAAAATCAGAGAATGAAGTAGACAGTCTGAACTCTGTCATATGCAGACCCCAGCCACCACACAGCACTATAGTCTTCTTGCTGCTGTAACAATGCCTTTGACCAGGCAGCTTATAAGCAGCACACATGTATTCTTCACAGCTCTGAAGGCTGAAGGGTAGGTGCAGGCAGATTGTTTGGTTAGAGACAACTTCTTGGTTCAAAGAGGGAACCTTCCTCTTGCTGTGTGGTCACATGATGGAAGACTTTCCCTTGAGTCTCTTTTACAAGGAATCTAATTCCATCAGTAAGGGGCAGAGCGCATCTCATGTAGGGCATTGATCCTATTCACTAGGGCACATCCTTCCTGGCTGCCTGGCTTCCTCAAGACCCTGTCTTCTAATATCATCAGCTTGAGGGCTAGGATTTTAATAGTCACACGTTGGGGAACAGGATGCAAACATTCAGCACATAGCACTGTGTGCTACACTTTCCCTCATGCTTAATAATTTTAGAATACCTACCAGCCAGGAGTAGAGAAGTCACTACAAACAGATAAGTACCCAGAAGACATTTCAAGTGTTCCCAATGAACCAGAGAGCAGAGGTAGGATCCAGAAAGCCTCTGCTGGGATGAGCTTTATCTGCTTGAAATATCTATCCTATCCATTATCCTACAACCTCATATAACTAGCTATACTGTAAACTACAACTAAGTGTACTATTAATTAGCTGTACCCAATCATTGTACTTTCCTTAAAATGTTATCCCAAACTCCATGATAGTAGATGCTTCAGCAAAAGTCCTTTTTAGAGTGTGGATCACAAACATACTGCTGATGGAAGAGCTGTTGTGAAGCTCAGCCTGGGGTAGGAGAGGGAGGCTGAGCATGGCAGCTCCTATGGAGCAGAACCTATGTTATATACACCTACTCTGTGCATTAGGAATGAATCTGCTAGGATTCTGGGATTTAGCTGGCAATGCACAGAGAGCTTAGCATTGCCATTCAGAGGCAGAAGGCTGCCCCTGCTGCTTCTCATTCAGAGGCAGGAGGCTGCCCCTGCTGCTTCTCATTCAGAGGCAGGAGGCTGCCCCTTGCTGCTTCTCATATTATTATTTCTACCATTAATACCATTTTAGTCCCAATTATTTATAAACTGAAAGGATATGTAAGTGCCAGTGGCTATATATCATACTGAGACATATATACACTTTAAGGGTGTTGTAGTAAGACTAGAGATTTTAAGCAAACACACAGGAAGAAGTAAATTGTGAAAGAATTAAACTACTACTAGTCAAAATATACAGACACAAATACAGTTCATGTTGGCTCAAAATTTACTTCAAATTTAAATAAAAAAATTTAGTATACTGAATTTGATAATAATACTTACCATGAGTTTCTGGAGTTTTAAAACTTTTTTCTAGTTCCTTCATAAACACGTTGTTATCAATATCTGCTATCGTAGCGAAACCAACTTGGAAAATCTAAATTATATAATGGATAATCAAGATGTAGCATTGTGCTAGCATTTTCTGTCTTTATTGTTATTAAGTAACTATCATTTTAATATAGGCTTTTATCATTTAAGAATGTTTTTTGCAAGCCTCATGGTAAATGCAAAGCAAAATGGTGAATTTAGCAAATAATGGTAAACAATCTAAACATTATGAAAACCTATTATCAGAGCATCAGGTATACAGAACAAATATTTATAGACTTAAAGGCTGAAGATTCTAGAATACTAATAGCAAGGGACTTTAGCATTAGCCTACCCCACAGTTACATCCCACAGCTACACTCACAGCTACACCCCACAGGTACAGGAGCTCACACACACACACACACACACACACACACACACACACACACACACGCACCCTGGCATGAGCAACACAGGAAGTGATTTTTAAAGCAAAGGAATACACTGTATCCGGTAGAAAGCTCAACATGTTCAATCGTTCCTTGATATCTAGGGAAAACTTTCTAAGAAGCCTCAGAAAGTGCCAAATCATAAGAATGCTTAGGTACCCTATGTAAAGCAGTACATCACTTATATAAAACCTGTACAACTTTATGTCTGGATTATTCAACCTAACACAGCTTAGATATGATTTACGGTTGCTAGATTGTTTGGGAAACGGTGATAAGAAAAAGTGTATACACACTTAGTACAGACACCATTTCATTTCCAACTAGTTTGGACCTATTTTTGGGGTGAATCTACAGAGGTGAAACCCATGAATACTGAGATATGATTATATTCTCAAAATTGTTCTAAATTACATTTGCATATTACTTTATGAGCTAGCAAATGTAGACTATCATTTTCTATCTTTGCTAACCCTTTACTTTCAAATACCACCTTTTACTCATAGTTTACCTACTGAGAATTACCAATAACACCACTTATTAGTTATAAAAACATAACTTTTCTTTTTTGGCACTTATATTCACTATTTAACAAATTTTGCAAAAAACAATTTAATCTTTTTTTTTTCAAAACCATCCTCATTTCTTTAATTTGTAAGACCCGTTAGTGATACTTAATTACCAGATTGTTTTCTATTGTAGGCCTAATTCTCTCTGGATTTCTTTCAACACAATTATCTTCAACTTCATCTTATGGTTCACTGACCACTTAAAAACTCAACAGTGTAATTTCTACTTTTAATAACTTATATTTTAAAACTGTTTATAGCACTTCTTTCTTTCACATTAATAGGTGCTAATCATGTCTTAATAAATAGTTTGAATTATGCAACTGCTTATATTAGTCAGAGGAAAAGACTAAACTGCACAGTAAGCTTACATTAGATAAGTCTGTGATTCCTGACATTCCAAAATCATCCTCTTTCTTGGAGTAATCTGTGCTGTTAAGATGGACGTAATTTCGAATTGCTGCTGACAGTAACCCGTCGCTCCACTCCATGGTATTAACATTCAGCTGCCCATACAGTTCACCAAGAGTGATACATTTTGGATTCAAAACACAAACATCGACTTTTCCTTTTTTCCCTGTAGACTGGGGGCGGGGGACGAGAGGTGCAACGTTGTTTTAAGAGGAATTAGTTATAGTACAATTACTTAATTTTTTACACTCTTGTTGCCAGTGGGTTTTGGGAAAAATCTTTCACATCAAACAAAGCATCTCTTTATAAGGTAATGAATAACAAGATGTCTCACTGAGCTCCATTACAGAACACAGGCTCTGATTGGGGTGCGCATGCTGGGAGCCGGGGTGGCTTGGAGAGAGGCAGGCGAGGAAGCGGGCTGTGCTTTCGGTCTATCTAGATCTTATCCACACAATGGTAACTTGATTGGACTCCACCCGAACTATTCTCTGCTTCATCTCATTCACACTTAAGTAGGGTAAGGGGCAGACATATGGCCAGAAACACACAGGTTCCCATAATGCAAGGCAAGATGTTATGGGCACAGACATACAGATGGTGGGAATCTGTGAAATTAAGGTAATAAAAACCCAGCTGTGTATACAGAGGGACTGTGAGAATTATATGTAAGACACACAAGTACACAGCTGGGTGTGGTTCAGTAGACAAGACCAGACTAACACTTGCCATTGGAGCGAAGACGGTGTCAATCCACAGGACTGGTACTTAGTATGGCATAGTAATTTGTTAGGGCTTCTTTTTAAAAAAAAAGACTAGGTGACTTAAACTAATTTTTTCCCATACTTCTAGATACTAGAAGATCAAGGCAGGAGAACACCAAGGACAAGACAGACTTACACTCGAGCTAGCAATTCACTTTCTGTAATGGAACGCATGCATTTTCAAATACTTGCTATAGTGCTGTGTAAACTTCAACTTTTATGCTTACATTTTCACCTAGAATTGTGTTCCCAAAATTGACCCTATACCTTTAAAACATCCACGGACACCAGTCTAACAACTCTATATGGTATGTGCTTAGCTTTATATATATACTGTGTGTGTGTGTGTGTGTGTGTGTGTGTGTGTGAATCACTTCTCTCTTTTCACACCAAGGGCCCTGGGACTGAGCTAAGATCATCAGGTTGGTGGCAGGCCAGGCTCCTTTACTCTGGGGGCCACCCCACAAGCACATTTTGCATTTTACTCTTGATGAGCCAGCTGTGAAGTCTTCTGTACAGACCTTCAACCACGTCTAGTGCCATGTTGAACTGCAGTGCTGCAGACAGACTTATCTCATTCCTGGTTGTATGGAAAGCTTCCAGCCTGTCACCATGGGAGTATGAATGAATTGTGGTTTTTCCAAAATTTCTGGCTTTTGTTAATCACAAAGGAAAATGAAGCACTATCCCATTCCTTTTATGTAACTGGATATGATCACGTGGCTTCTTTCTCTTGTTCTATTATGTATGTATTATGCTGATTTAATGTTGGATGTGATTCCTGGAGTGATCCTACCTGGTCTTGCTATATTATACAGTTTACTTTTCAGCAATGACAATTACTGCTTAAGAGCTCACTGAGGTCTGTTTAGAAGAATGATTCGTAGGCAATGATGAGAATCAGAAAGTACAACATGAACAGTTCTGAAGAGGAAAGTTTATACCAAAAGAAAAAAATTCACATAACTAACTTTCTAAGATGTCGTAGTGTTGCACACTGCTCGTGCCTAGGGATTGTAGGTGGGCGTGTTGGCATGAGCAGAAGCGCAACAAGACCCGGAATAGCGGCTGGCGGAACCACCGCAGGGCACCGAGGGCAGTGGCTGCTCAGCCTGGGGCGCGGGGCGGTGGTCATGGGCTGCCTCGAGGCCGGCCCACAGGGGTGGGCGGAGGGACTCTGGGGTCAGGGCGTGGAAGGCGCAGGCCGAGTCGGCCTGGGGCCCTTGGTAGCTGGCGGGATGACGGGCCTCCGGTCGGCTCAAGACCCCCAGAGGCGAGGGTGGTGGCAGCGGCAATGAGGGAGAGCATAGCTGTGAGCTAGGGCACAGCTCGCTTTTCAGTTGCGCAGAGCAGGACCTCCGTCCCAGCCTCCAAATGCAGGAGTGTTACGGCTCTTTCAGTTCCCTCTTTCGGGGGGAGGGGGGGTAGCTCGTGAGAGCCCACGGAAGAAAAGTGTTACAGCTTTCTCAGTTCGCTCTGCCCGCTGAGAGGAGAGGAGAGAGGAGAGTTGTCCTTTGAAATGCGCAGGATAGCCGGAGACTGTCCAGGGATCATGAAAGCACTCTGACAGTGGGAGGTCTTACACCACACAGCACACTTTACTTTGAGCTCTCGGGACATATATACAGTTTGGGGGGGAGAACAGATAATTTCTATTGGTTTGGTTTGAGGGCTTGGGGATGCCTTATTTGCATGGAGGTGTTATTCCTATGTGGTAAAGGCCACAGACCTCTTTGTGGGAACTGGAAGCTAAGAGAGCCATATATGGCTTGGGAAGTCCTGAAGCAACCTTCTGTCCTGCTGGCCCTCTTCAGACCAAGGTTTCCGGGTCTTCAAGGATTTCTACCAAGCTTTCTGGCTTCTCATAGCCTACTGCCCCACATCGTAGTACACTACCAACAGTGAAATCATCAAATATTCAAGCTCGCATGATTTAATGGAGTATTTTATTTTATTTTGCTTTAAAACATGTACATAGGAGCTTCCTGAGAATTCATATAGACAGTTAATATTTACTCAATAGTAGTAAATTTGTCAAAACATCAACCAGCTAAAAGACAAGAGACTAACAATTATTGTAGTTTTAAAATTTAATTTGTTTTATGTGCATGGGTGTTCTGCCTGTGTACTGTACGCACGCTTGTGCTATAGAAGCCAAAAGAGGGATCAGATGCTGTGGAAAGACAGTTGTGAGCTGCCATGTGGGTGCTGGGGATGGAGCCCAGTCCTTTGGAAGAGCAGCCAGTGCTCTAACTGCCAAGCCATCTCTACACTCCTGTTCCAACCTCTAACAATCATTATATAAGCTCCAACCATCAGAAATGCAAAGTTTAGGGAAAGAGAAACTTTAAAATGTGATGAAAATTTTTCTAGAATTTTTTTCTTTACAAAAAGAATAAAATATTAGGGATAAAGATAACATCATATTGAAATAGTAAATGCATCTCAGGTAAAATAAGGAATAAGAACTATTGTTGACACTATCTAGGATGGTTTTAATTAATTTAAATAACAGGATAAAAATCATATAAATATTAGAAAAGAGGTATAATTATTTTCACTTGAAGGTGATTGAATTAATACTCGAGAAGCAATTGAAACTTAATAAATCAATTCAATAAAGTAGCCAAATACAAAATATATAATCAACAATTAAATTTTACCCCTCATCACAAGTTTCATATCTAAATTTCAAAATTCTCACTTACTACAAGGATGTCTTACTACAAAACTTTTAGCAGTAACTTGAATAAGTAGCTAAAATACATAACACAGAAAGAATAGATACATACTGAAGTATATACTCTGTGTAGATGGAAAAATGTCTCATTTAGTAGATTTACCTTTGAATCAGATTGCCTCTCTTTAACAGGTAAGGCAGAAGCAACTGGCAATGTTATCAGTGCTTTCTCTAAAATTTTCCTGACTGTCGTCTTCCCTCCGCCTGTTGGGCCCACTAGAATCACGCCAACACAAGCCTTAAACGAAATGCACAGATTAGAGTATGAGCAACTGTTTAAAGTTCTGGACACTGACACTGGTGCGCGTGCCCGCCCACTCTTTCTTCATGACTGTTCTTGGTGCCGAGCACTTCCTGTTGCTGTCCCACCCATCCCTCATGGCTTTCTGAACTACTGGCCGGTGTAACAATGATTCTCCTCTTCCCTTTTGTCTTTTCTTTGTATGCTAGATTCCTCTCAGTCGTGCTTGTTGCTCTCTCTCCTTTGCTTTCCCTTTAGTCTTGTCAGTTTGGCTGCAAGTGTGACTCGGCTTCTCAGTTCTCTCCATCTCTGCTTTCACTAACTACTTCCAACCCGATGGCTCATAAGCTTCTCACCTCAGAATAACCTTACCTTTTTTTCTTTCTAAACTTAATGCTTTTGTATGCACCAACTGCTTAAAGCAGAATACTAATCTTTTTTCATTCATAGCTTACAAGACATTTTCTTGGTTTTAGCTCTGATATTTGGGGGAGGGGCCCCTATGGTGTACTTAACCGTCTAATAAGCAGAGGAAATGGCAGCGGGGTAGTCTGTGGTAAAACGCTTGTCTAGAATCCTCAGTTCAATCTTCAGTACCATACAAACAGAAAAAAAAAAAAACCAGAGGAGGAGGAAGAGGGAGAGAAAGGGAGAAAGGAGGACGGAAGAAGAAGAGGGAGGAGAAAGATTCATAGAAAATATCTTTACAAAGATAGTTGAAAAGATGTTTTTAAAGCTAGGGTACAAAAAGCTCAAACGATAAATAAAATAAAATAAATAAATAAAATCTTATTGAATTAAGATTATCTTTAATACAGCTTGAACAGTGCAACACTTACCTGAGGTTTAGAGAATTTACCCATAATGCACACAGCTGGTAAATTACTATGATATAAAATACACAGTAAAAAACCACATATATTTTCTAAGAAAAAGATAAACAACCACGTGAAAAATGAGTACATTCTATGATCTGGAAATTCACATAAAACTCAAATGGTTAAAAGAATTTAAAGAGACACAGTAGCTTACAAGGAACCAGGGGTATGCACATTTTAGTGAAAATACACAACAGGCATTCATAGCCAGGCAGAACAGGAAGTTTCAAGATGGGGTAACAACAGGTTAGAGACTATTTTATACTACATTTGTAGGGCTCTGACAAGTATATATTATTGAATAAAAGTAAAAATATCAATTCAATATTTAACAAAAGTAAAAATATCAATTCAATATCTAACCAAGGTGAGACGCAAAGTCTAGGAAAACACTTACTATGCCACTGAGTCGTAGCTGCTCTCTCCTGCTCTTCCTATGTTCTTGAATTTGATCTCATGGACTGAAACCTAGAGGGAGAACCTGCTGCCGGGCCACCCAGTACTTACCTGAAGCTGTTGATAAAATTGTATGATCTTTTCTTTTTGAGATGGCCAATATTGAAAGCCTAATTGTTCTGTTGCAATAGATATTGCTTTCTGAAAGGATATAAATATATTAATTTAAAGTGTATTACAACCTGAGTATCTATCATCCATATATCCATCCATTTATTTATCTATCACAGTCTTGGGGACAGAACCCAGGGCCTTGTACAAACTAGCCTAATGGTCTACCACTGTGCCATGCACCTAGCCCAAACCCTTAAATTGTCATTCTTTAGAACTTCTTAGCTACTTATTAATTATTGTAGTTTACAAGAGTATTTTTTTTTATTTTTTTAAGTTCATCAACTTCTGTCTTTGAGAATAAGGGAAATCCACCATTTTTCTCACCAGAAATTTGCAACATACAGAAAAAAATGTATCTTCATAGACCTTTGGTAGCAAATTCATAAAACCTCCCCTTAAACTAAGAATTCTCACTTTCATATTTATTATATACAAAATCATATGCACAAAACAACAAAAATGGGCCTGGCATGTTATGTTAACATGCCGGTGTGTATATAGGTAACAAGAAAAATCAAAAAGGCCGTCAGCCTAAGAGGAGTGAGGTGGGGTAGAGAAGGGGCTGGAGGGAAGAAGGCATGGAGGAAGTGCTGATGTACTTACTAAATTTTAATTAAAATTATATCTTAAAGAGTAGCTACAAATATTCATTCTCCCTACATTAAAATAAAAAATAAAGGGGCTTTCTATCTCTTTGTGATTCTAATCACCACCACAGTAGTTTTAGATTTTGTAATGATTAGTTTAATGTTTCAATGCGAATGTTCTAAGATAATAAATAAAACCGATAAGATTGTAAGTATGATGTAGTTCCTTAAAATATCCAAAACAGAAAAAAAAAAACAAACCAAACAAGAAAAACAAAACAAAAAAATTGGAGGAAATCATGTTTCCTTCTGAAGGAGGGTTTGTCAGCAGCAGGTGGAGACAGCTGGTAATCTTGTCTCCGGCCACTGCTTACTTCTTGCATCTCTACAATGAGAAACAACACAGCAGACAAAGAGACAAGACCACAGAGAAAGGCAGCTCCTAGGGAGCAACCATTGAGTGTTTAAAAGAACCTCGTCAACAGTCCTGGATGAGAGCACTCACCTAAGACCCCCAGCCTTGAGCAGATCAATCCTTGTGATCTGGGTCTGGGAGCGAAGTCATACAGACAGAATCAGACTCAATGGAATGCACCGTGAGTAACACACAGTCACAATCATGAGAGATGTCTGGACAACTCATTTCTTCTGGTTATGTATCTTAACAGAATTCTCACCTTAGATTGCTTTTGAGTAAATCTACAATCTTGCTTTAAGTTATTCAGGACTATTATGTGATATTCCTTGGAGGGAGTTAAAAATAAAAGGGGGAAGAGAGTAAGAGGGAGAGAAGAAAATTTAAAAGTGGAGTTCAAAAGACAGGAGGAATAGTTTGATTTACACCAGATAAATCAGACTTTGAGTCAAAAGCTAGAAAAGCCATCTAAAAGACGAGTATGTATGATAAAAGGCCAGTTCTGCAAGGTTGTACAATAGGACAGTACTTCTGTCCCTAAAGCTGTAGGGTAAATACTGATTGGCTTTAAGGGAGGGGTGCGCTCCAGCGCATCAACAGTAGAGCACTCTGAACACACGCTACTTTCAGTAATAAGCAGAAATACCCAGATGCAAAAGAAATGTCAGCGTTAAACCACACCATGGACCAAAAGTCCCAGCAGACAAAGTCCCAGCAGATACTCAAACACCACACCAATGCATGCTCTCCTTAACAGCATATGGAAAAGTATCCATACATATCTCATAGCTAGCCACAAAACAAGCATCAACAAATTAAAACAAAAGAAATGGAAATCACATCAAATGTAATTTTGATCACAACAGCATAAAATTAGAAAGCATCAAGGAGAGACACTTTGGATACTAAACAAATATAAGAAACAAAACAACAGGCTCCAGAAAAGCCCAGGGGTTGTATGTATACAAGAGCCACCGTATGTGTGTGCGTGCAGTTGCATGTGTCTCAGTGTGCATCTGTGTACGTGTGTGTGTCTGTGTCTCTGTGCATGTATGAGCATGTGTATGTGCATGTGTGTAAGTCAGACAATTATTTTCAGGAGTCAGTTCTCCCCTTTCACTGGTAAGATCAGGGGAGCAAATTCAAGTTGTTAGTCTTGATTACAAACACCCCATATGCTGAATCATCTCACTAGCCCAGAAGTTATAAAATTTATTTAGACAAATGATAACAGCAATACAGTATACTCCAAACTATAGAGCAAAAAAAAAAATAGAAATAGATTAGAGCAAAAGTACAATGCAGAGAAGTTTATAGGAATAATCACCCACCACCGAAAAACAGAGACTTCAGGAGCTGGAGAGATGGTTCAGTCATTAAGAGCACTTGCTGCTCTTGCAGAGGACCTGGGTTTGATTCCCAGCACCCACATGGTGGCTCACAATAGTCTGTAACTCCAGTTCTAGGGGATCTTACATCCTCTTCTGGGACACTGCAGATACTAGGCACGTACATGGTTCATAGAAATACATGTAGGCAAAATACCCAAGCACATAAAAGTAAAAAGTAATTTAAAGAGAAGATTTTAAATAAATAACTTAATATTGTTCCTTAAGGAATTAAAGAAAAACAAACAAAACCCAAGAATAACTGAAATTCCAAGTTAGTAGTAAGAAAAAATTTTAAATAAATGCAGAAATAAGTAAAAATAAGGATTAAAAATACAGATGCTAGACAATACAAGTTTTAAATAAGTACATGTATATGAGTACATATGTAATGATGGTGCGTATGTTCATCTGTTCATATTCATATGGAAGGCAGAAGAGATCTGTCATTGGCTAGAGCTCACTACATAGGCTCTCCTGCCTGGCCAAGGAGTCTCGGGGCCTCCTGTTTCTCCAGCTTTAATGGTTTTAAATGTGTGCCACCATGCCAAGGCTCTATGTGACTGTGGAGGGGAAGCCCAGATCTTCAGATTTACAAGGCAAGTGCTTTATCAATTGAGCTATAAAGTAAAGCAACAACAACAAAGTCTTTAGCTATATTAAGAAATGAGAAAACTTATATAAATAAAGCTAGAGATGAAAACAGAGATGTTATGATAGATGCAACCATAAAAAGGATCATTAGATAAAATTATAAGCAACTGCATGCCAACAAATAAGAAAAACAGAAGTGAATACATTTGTAAACATGTACAACTTACCACGACTGAGTAAGAAAAAACTAGATGCCCAAGGAAACCCATAAAAATAAAGGATGAGATTGAATCAACAATAAAATGTTTTCCATTAAAGCAAAGCCTGGAACCAGATGATCCACTGCTGAAGTCTATCAAGCATTTAAAGAATTAACACTAGTTCTTTTCAAATGCTTCCTTTAAAATTGTGAAGGGAAAGAACTCTTCCAAATTCCTTGTTAGTGGCTAGCAATATATTGATATTCAAACCATTTCAACAAAGGAAAAATAAACTCATTATACTTGAGGAATCTGACTGCAAAAGCCCCAAATAAAATACTAGCAAAAGTGACCCAACAGCTCCTTCAAAAGATGTCCTACTGGGAGCTGTTGTGATTCACACCGGGCATGTAGGATGCTACACATGCAGTGAGTGTCCTCACATAAATAGAACAAGAGACCAAAGCCATGCTTTCTGTAACCCTGACAAAGCATTTGCTTGGGGGGGAAATTCTAGTCTTACAAACTTTCATTAATAAAAAAGAAAACTAAATGAACTAAAAAAAAAAAAAAAAAAAAGAAAAACTTACTAAAAAAGATGGAAGCCACAGAAGAAGACAGAAGAATATTTCAAACATTAAAAGAGATAGCAAGGTATTTGGAAGCAGAAGATGTATTAAATCAAAGGCTGGTTCATTAAGAAAACAATGTGTTAGATCAGACAGCTAAGTGGTCTAAGAAAAGAAGCCTATCTTAGGAAAATAAATAATGGGAAAAAATCTCAAAAGCATGAACTCAAGTTCAAGAATCAAAATAGTGCCTTGTTCCATATATAGCTTGATCAGGCTAGCCCTTCTCATCCTGGGAATACTTTTATTCCTGTTAAAGCTTATCTTTAACAACATCAACATGTTGGCAGCCAAAGTACATGGCTTGAACCTGAAAATGGACCCCCTCAGACAGAGTTATTAAATTAACAGGCTAGCAAGCCAAGGATGGATAAGATTCTGCGCAAAGCATTACCAACCTAAGACAGAAATGCATTGCTTTTGATAATGCATATTCTATGATGGGTAAGGAAGGCATTCTTGTCAGAATGACCTAAGACAGACTCCGTCTTGTTAACGAAATAAAAAAGGGGGAGAGGTGGAGAGCCTTTGAGGTTGCTTGGCAAGAAGCTGACATGGGCCAAGGACAAGGAAATGGGCTGCTTGGCAGGAATATGACATTGGCCAAGGACAAGGAAGTAGGCTTCAAGCAGGAATCTGACAGACTAGAACAAAGAAGTAATTTCAGGAAGGAATCTAAATCTTAGGCTACAACAAAGAATTAATTTCAGACAGGAATCTAAATTTTAGGCTAGAACAAGGATGTAGGCTTCAGACATGAAAATAATCTTGGACTAGGACAAGGAAGTAGGCTCAGATACTTTGGTCATTCTGATAAGCCTTTAGAAACAGTGATCACAGGAGTGTTCAAGTAACTGGGTTTAATGCCTTGCTTGTTCTTTGACTATTTTTGTGTTTATTGTATTGCTTGTTCCTTGACTATTTGCATCTATTGTATTCCTAGATCCTCAACCTAGAACTGACCTTGATACATGTATGTAATCAAAATGGTATAAAAGCATAAAGGAAGAGGGGGTATAGGATAGGGGGTTCTAGGGAGGGGAAATGGGGAAAGGGGATGACATCTGTATTGTAAATAAGTAAAATAGCCAATAAAAAATATTAACTCTAAAAAAAATTTAAAAAATAGTTCCTTGTTCAGCTCCATACTAATCCATTCTAAAACAGGAATGAAAAACAAGTGTTTGTCGAGTTGAACAAAGGTGTTTCAAGGAGGCCCACAGTGATTAAGACAAATTTATTTTCAGGCCATAACAGAACAATTATAATCATATATTTACTTTGAATGGTTTCCAAGAGAAATTCTTGTGTTTCTTCCTGCATTATCTATGGTCAAGTTTGCTACATGCTTCATATGTGCTAGAACACAGTATGTAACCTGTGAATATTTTGTCAAGTTGATTACATATCCTACTGATGTTATTAAAAGCAGCTATTATAAAGCTGGGAGATAGGAAGCAGCAGAGGCAGAAAGAGGCTGTTCGGACAACAGGAGCGGGTGGGAGCAGGAAGGGCAGGGTATGGTGGAAGGGTGACCCGGCTGCCAGATGGAGGGAACCAAGATTTTGTCAAAATAATTTTGCTTTTGTACTTGAGGTAATGCCAGTTGAACACTGGCTTTGCCTGTGCACATGTCTTAGGGGAGCAACTGGGGAAGCCTTGTGGAAATACCCAGAATGCAGTAAACACACATGGGCAAAACAGTCATCTCTGTGCTATTACAGGGAAACTCAGCATCATCACTTAAGAAGGAGAACTAAGCACACAGTACCCCTCTACCATTTGTTCACATCAGTCACAGTGTGCTTAAAGCTCTTTCCACCCCCCTGGGGGGGGGAGGGAACATGCTTGCAAAATGCTTTTATCCTCAAATCCTGTGATTTACTCCCCATGAGTGGACTATTTCAGAAAGAACCACTGTATTTAAACCCACACAGATTCTACTTCCAAGTGACCTGGTACTGTTTCCAGGGTCTCATTACCTCCAAGTTAAGGTGATGAAGTTTTGAAACGGTTATTCCAGGAAAAACATCTTCTATGATCTTTTCAAAAGGTAGGACATCTTCAGGAAGGAACTTTGACAAACTGGCTTCTTGGATGGCCTCGATGATGATCAAGGACTCCTCTAACTCAGAAAGATGCTCACTGCTACCACTGTAGCAGTTAGAGAGAACAAGCATGAGCAGGTTAGAAGACTGTTCTTCAGGTGTTATAAATATCCACCTCTTAAGCATTTTCCCTTGCATCATACTTTCTAAAATGTTGACCTGGTTTAGTTTTGTCTTTTTGAACCACAAGAACCTGTCAGTCCATCCTACTGGGGTGCTCTGGCAGCTTCTCGTTTTACCTTGTCGTCCTTAATTAAAATTCTACAAATTACCAATCCAGTGGTATGTAACTCTCCAAACGTTAACACTAAATTCAAATTTCAACTAACCATTTATGCTCCTGTTTCTTCTTTTCTGTCATTATTAAAACTGTCTTCAAGGTCCTCATGCCAAAATCATAATGCTCCTAAAATGAAATATTCAATATTTGAGTTATTAACCATTTTCAAGAAAAAATAGAATTATTTACAACAATTACATGCATAATTAATAATCATATATCTTTTTTCCTGCTTTTTTGAGACAGGGTCTCTTCATGTAGCCCCGCATGTCCTCGAACTCACTCTGTAGCCCAGGGTAGCCTCAAACTTACAGAAATCCACCTGCTTCTGCCTCCTGAATCCTGGGATTTTAGATGTACAACATCACTGCTAGGCTTGCAGCCATCTATTCTAGAAAAGGAGATATCTGCACAAGTCCAGAACCTTAATTCTGCCTCTTCTGCTCTTATTTCTCTTCCAAAGTGGTGCCAAAAAAGTCCCTTTGCCTTGTGTTCTTGTCCTCCTTTCATCCCTCCCTTTCCCCAGTGTCTTACTATGTTATCCAGCCTGGCCTTGAACTCCTGGGCTCAGATCTTCCCATTGTCTCAGCCTGTCTCTCCAGTTCTGAGGACTACAGGCTGCATTACTGCGCTCAGGAGAAGTCTCCTTTTGAAAGTAAGGGTATCGAGTGTTAAAGTTACAGCCTCTGTGTTAAACTGAGAACTGGGAAGAGGAACTGTGAGAATAATATCAGGGAAAGGATGACTTCAGAGAGGATATGGTTAGCTGTTCAAACCATTTTGGGTTAGAAACAAACACTCAAATCCCAGAACCATTCTCAAAAAGGTGTGAGACTCAAGTCAGCAGTACCAGAAACGGAGTGTACTGAAGTGGTGCTCAGTGGTACACTGCTGAACAGGATCATCAAGGATAAGGCCTGGTACCCGGGTTTTCACATGTCCTACAGATTACTGAGATGTACGAAAAGCTGGAGAACTCTGGTGTAAAGGCTGACAGCCACGAGCAGAGGGAGCATATGTGGTTCGAAATAGCAGGAATGTCATCACTTCCCCTAGACTTTGAAGGAGAGGCCTGGGACCATGAATGCCTACCTACTTAGAACACAGTAGTTCCCATTTCATAGTTGGGCCTGATCTTGCTGATTCCTGGCCAATAGCAGAAATGTCTTTGAGTCTCATTTATATAACCGGCGTTAAGTCTTTGGAGAGAAGCAGTTCCTCACCTGTTTTGAGAGCTGCTTGTCAGCTAAATCATAAAGATTAACTATCTTTCCAGACAGTGATCTTGAAGATTTGAAGCCAAATGAAAACAGAGTTACTTCAGTGATCATTTTATAGTGGGGCACCATCATTGCCACTGAGCGAAACAGAGATTGTAAGTTACCTGGGAGCTCAACCCGACCTCTATATCTAAAGAGGAAGAGGAAAACAGCAACAGTAATAAAAATCCTACCACGCTTTGCAGTGTTTCAAATTTGAAACTATATTGCTTTGCCCCCAAATAATTCTATTGGCTTTTTGTGTTACACTTACATGAAAATTAGTTTATAGATAGGTTCTTACCTTTTATCCCATGAGCATGCTGGTCTAAAGTACTTTCTGTATCTTATTACATGGCTCACCTCAGCTCAGTTCTTTCTCATTTCTTGGGCTACTGTGCCACTTATTCATATGTCTGATGAACCTAGCCTTAAGTCAGAGACTTAATGTAACATTACCCATGTGTACAGGCCAGAGATGTTGTATTTACTCACAAAAAGAAAAGTCTGTGCCAGCTCCATGAGATGGAACTCATACTTGGCACCACTATGAGAGCCAAGAACCTGTGGCTGGACAGATGACAGACCCGGGAAAGCCTCTTGAAATGACTCTGTACACTATTAAACTGACGCTTTATTACTCATCGTTATAGATTAGTGTACTTCAACCCTCATCCGAGAAAAGTCTTAAGAGTACATGGTGATGAACACAGATACAACTGGTCTGGCTGCAGAGAGTGAGAAACTGAAGAGCCATAAGAAGACATCAGTACCACACCCCATACCTAGAGGCTTGGGGATTATAATGGAAGAGCAAGTGTCAAGATTGCTAGAAGCACTCTGGGGTACCCCCAGGTACCCTGAATAGTCTACTAACCTGGGGGAACTCCATTCTCCCACCACCTCTCTGCCCACCTTCATGAGACCTGTAGATCCTGAACTATACAGGTTAGCTTCTCTTCCCCCATCCCTCTTCCCTGCTTGTTGAGTCTCCTGGGCACCTGAGCTGTCCTGAGCAGTCTGCTATCCCCAGTGAACTTCCATTTTCCTGCCACCTCTCTGCTCACCTCAGACCTACTGATCTGAAACCATACAGCGAAAGAAAACCCATCAAAGGCCTGCCACACCAGGACCATCAAGGTTAACTCCCCTCCCAATACCTATTACAACAGAAACATCCAGGAACATCCCCAAAACATCCAGATGGCTTAAGAATACAATCAACAAAATCCAGGGCAATATAACACCTCCAGAGCACAGCTACTCTAGTACAGCCAGCTCTGACTATGCTAGCACAATTAAAGTGTGTTACAAGAAAATGACCTTAACCCTAATCTTATAAAGATGATAGAGGCCTTAAAATCCCCTAAAGAAATACAGGAAAATATAATTAAACAGATGAAATAAATTAATAAAACTATTCACAACCTGAAAATGGAAATCAGAAGCAAGAAACAAAACACAAACTGAGGGAATCCTGGAAATGGAAAGAGAACAGAAGCAACAGATTCAAGTATCACCAACAGAATACAGAAGATGGGAGAGAGAATCTCAGGCAAAGAAGATAAAATAGAAGAAATCAATACATCAAAGGAAATGCTAAATCTAAAAAATTCCTGACACAAATCATCCAGGAAATCTGGTATACCATGAAAAGACCTAACCTAAGAATAATAGGAATACAAGAAGGTAAGAGTCCCAGCTCCAAGGCCCAGAAAATATTTTCAAGAAAATCATAGAAGAAAACTTTCCTAAAGAATGTATGAATTACACCCAACTTCTCAACAGAGATTCTAAAAGCTAGAAGGGCCTGGACAGATGTCTTGCAACCTCTAAAAAACACAGATGCCAACCTAGACTACTATACCCACCAATACTCCCAATCACCATAGATGAAGAAAACAAGATATTTCAAGATAAATCCAAATTTAAACAAGATCTATCCACAAATGCAGCCCTACAAAAAATGCTAGAAGAAAAACTCCAACCCAAGGAAGACAAGTACGTCCAAGAAAACACAATAAATAACTCCATACTAGCAAAAACAAGGGGAGCACACACAAATACACACAAATTAACACCACTATCATCCAAATAGCAGGAATTAACAATCACAGGTCATCAATATTTCTCAACATCAATGAACCCAATTCCTCATTAAAAAGACACAGGCTAACAGAATGGATGTGAAAACAGGATCCATCATTCTGCTACATACAAGAAACACATCTCAGCAATAGAGATAGACATTACCTCAGAGTAAAGGGCTAGAAAAAAGTTTTCCAAGCAAACAGACCTAAGAAGCAAGCTGGAGTAGCCATTTCAATATCCAACAAAATAGACTTTCAGCCAAAATTAATCAAAAGAGACAGGGAGGGACACTTCATACTCATCAAAGAAAAAATCTATCAAGATGATATCTTAATTCTGAACATCTGTGCCTCAAACACCAGAGTACACACATTTGTAAAACAATCATTACTAAAGCTTAAATTGCACATCAAAGTCCACACATTAATAATGGGAGACTTCAGCACTCCACTTTCACCAATTGACAGGTCATCCAGACAAAAACTGAACAGAGAAGCAATGAAACTAACAAACATCATGAATCAAATGGACCTAACAGACATCTATGGAATATTTCACACAAACACAAAAGAATATATATTCTTCTCAGCACCTCATTGATACTTCTCCAAAATTGATGATATAATCAGTCGCAAAGCAAGCCTCAACAGATTCAAGAAAATTGAAATAATGCCTTGTATCTTATCAGACCACTAATGGATTAAAAAAAAAAAAGGCTAACGTCCACAACAACAGAAACACCAGAAAGCCTACATGCTCATGGAAATTGAACAACTCTCTACTCAATGATTTCTGGTCAGAGAAGAAATAAAGAAATTAAGACTTTCTACAATTCAATGGAAATGAAGCACAACATATCCCAATTTATGAGATACAATGAAAGCAGTGTTAAGAGGAAAGTACACAACACTAAGTGCCTCCACAAAGAAATTAGAAAATTCTCATACCAGCAATTTAAAAGTACACCTGGAAGCTCTAGAAAAAAGAAGCAAGCACACTGAAGAGGAGTGGAAGGCAGGAAATAATCCAAATCAGGACTGAAATCAATCAGTTAGAGACAAAGATAACAATACAAAGAATCAATGAAACCAAGAGCTGGTTCTTTGAGAAAATCAACAAGATAGACAAACCTTTAGTCAAACTAACTAAAAGACAATGGTACTCCACAAAATACAAACAGAAGGAACACTGCTAAACTCATTCTATGAAGCCACAGTCACGCTGATATGTAAACCACATAAGAACTCAACAAAGAAGGAAAATTTCAGACACATTTCTTTTATGAATATTGATGCCAAAATACTCAGTAAAATGCTCATAAATCAAATCCAGAAACACATCAAAAACATCCCTTCATGTTAAAAGTATTAAAGAGATCAGGGATACAAGGTATACACCTAAACATAGTAAAAGCAATATACATCAAGCCAATAGCCAACTCCACTAAAATCAGGGACAAGACAAAGATGCCCTCTTTCTCCATATCTATTCAATATAGTACCTGAAATTCTAGCCAGAGCAATAAGACAACTAAAGGAGATCAAGGGGATACAAATTGGAAGGAAGAAATCAACATACCACCATTTGTGGTATGATGGTAAATATAAGCAACCCAAAAAATCTGACCAGAGAACTCCTACAGCTGATAAACACCTTCAGCAGAGTAGCTGGATACAAAATTAACTCAAAGAAATCAGTAGCACTTATTTATACAAATGAAAACTTGGCTGAGAAAGAAATTAGGGAAAAACACCCTTTATGATACCCATGAATAGTATAAAATATCCTGGTGTAACTCTAACCAAGCAAGTGAAAGACCTATATGACAAGAACTTCAAGTCTTTGAAGAAAGAAACTGGGGAAAGTATCAGAAGATGGAAAGATCTCCCTTATTGGATTGCTAGGATTAACATAGTGAAAATGGCCATCTTACCAAAAACAATTTGCAGATTCAGTGTAATTCCCATCAATATTCTAACACAATTTTTGTAGTGACCTTGAAAGAACAATTCTCAACTTCCTATAGAAAAACAAAACAAAACAAAACAACCCAGGAACTATAAAAGAACTTTTGGAGGTATCACCATCTCTGACCTCAAGCTATATAGTACAGAGCAATAGTGACAAAAACTGCACAGTATTGGTACTGAAACATTTTCACTATGTTGATTAATGGAATAAAATTGAAGACCCTTAAATAAACCCACACAGCCATGGACACTTGATTTTTGACAAAGAAGGCAAAAAATATACAATGGAAAAAAGAAAGCATCTTCAACAAATGGTACTGGTCTAACTGGATGTCCACATGTATAAGAATGCAAATAGATCCATATTTCTCACCCTGCACAAAAGTCCAAGTGGATCAAAGACCTCAACACAAAACCAGATACACTGAATCTAATAGAACAGAATGTGGGGAATAGCCTTGAACTCACTGCTACAGGAGACAACTTCCTGAACTGAACCCCAATAGCTCAGGCTCTACGATCAACAATTAATAAATGGGACCTCATGAAACTGAAAAGCTTCTATAAGGAAAAGGAGACTGGCAATAGGACAAAACAGCAGCCTACAGATCTTCTCCAACCCTATAGCCAACAGAGGGCTAATATACAGAATTTATAAAGAACTCAAGAAATTAGAAACCAGCAATCCACATAACCCAATTAAAAATGTGGTACATAGCCGAACAGAGAATTCTCAACAGAGGAATCTCGAATGGCTGAGAAGCACTTAAAGAACGTTCAAAGTCCTTAGTCATCAGGCAAATGCAAATCAAAGTGACCCTAAGATTCCAACTTATACCCATCAGAATGGCTAAGATCAAAAACTCAAGTGGCAGGACATGCTGGCAAAGATGTGGAGCAAGGGGAACACTCCTCCATTGCTAGTGGGAGTGCAAACTTGTACAACCACTTTGGAAAATCAATTTGGTGGTTTCTCAGAAAACTAGAAATAGTTCTACCTCAAGACCCAGCTATATCACTCCTGGGAAAATACCCAAAAGATACTCCATTACACCACAGGGACAGTTGCTCAACTATGTTCATAGCAGCTTTATTCTTAATAGCCAGAAACTGGAAACAACCTAGATGAAGAATGGATACAGAAAATGTGGTTCATCTACACAATGAAGTACTTACTATTCAGCTATTAAACACAAAGACATCATGAATTCTGTAGGCAAATGGATAGAACTTGAGACTATCATCCTGAGTGAGGTAACCCAAAGGAATGAGGTAATAAAAAAGGACACACATGGTATGTTCTCACTTATAAGTGAACATTGGCCATAAAGTATAAGATACTCATGCTGTAATCCACAGACCCAAAGAAGCTAAACAAGAAGGAAGGCCCAAGCGAGAAAGCTCGAATCTCACTTAGAAGAAGGAATAAAATAGTTAAAGGAGGCAGACAGAGGGAGGGAGCTGTATGGGAGAGGGCATGGAGAGGGAAAGGAGGTCGTGTTCAAGATCAGTTTTGGGGAAGGACAGGAGAGATGGCCAGATGGCCTCGTGAATGAATGGCAATCTGCAACTGAAGTTTTAAAAATCCAGTTTTTTGAGACATTGTATTCTGATCCCACTCCCTCTCTTCATCCCAATTCCTCCCAGATCTACTTTTCTCATTCTATACCCACATTTAAGAAAAAAAGATTCTGGAGGGTGAACGATGTCTAACAACCACACCCACAGGTGAGACTAGAGAAAGGGATTTTAGTCTATGTCTCCTCCCATGAGACTCTAATACTTACCCAGGATTTATGGTGATAAGCACCGCACATGACATATTAATCCGTATTTCTCTACCATCCAGTACGAACCTAAAAGGCAGTAAAGCATCCATCACTAAAGTCACTCCTCTAGGCCCAACTCTAATGAATCCGGGGATTTTCTTAAGGCTGTATTGCATATAAATCCAAACAAAACATACTTTAAATGACAATGCTGAGAGAGGAGGAGGAGGAGGAGGAGGAGGAGGAGGAGGAGGAGGAGGAGGAGGAGGAGGAGGAGGAGGAGGAGGCTTATTTGGAGCCAAAGTTGAGTTCTGCCAGGATTCAGGTATAGTTGACTGTGTCTAAGGATGGCTGACAAGATTTTGGAAGTGGATGCTGGAAGGCACCCACAGATGAATTCGTTCACCAGGGAAGAGACCCTGGGAAGCCCTCCCTCACTGAGCTGGGCCTGGAAGACTCACCAGAGCAGCCAGCATAGCACAGAGTTCCTGCTGGGAACACAACCCACTTTCAGCCTCCTTTCTCCAGTTAAAACTTACTGAGAGACATGGCTCAGCACAGGCTGCGTCCTGCAGACCCAGGTTTGGTTCCCAGGCCCACATGGTGGCTCATAATGGTCTGTTAACTTCAGTTTGAGGGTATTCAATGGCTGTGGTGCACAGACACAAATGTAGGCAAAACAGCCATAAAACAATAACGGATAAAATCTCAAACATTAAAAAAAAAATTTGGGCAACTGTGAGGCAGATGATTTGCCAAGGACACCAGACTTCTGTCATTGACAATAGTCACAAAGACAGTGGCAAGACTTTCTGGAGCCATTTCTTACCGAAGAGGGCATTTAAAGCTTGGGAGGCAGAGAAACCAGGATAAAACCAGGACAGTCCCTGGGAGTAACACTTACAGAGGTTAAGACACAGAAAAGGGTGGTAAAATGTACCTTACTGTGCCACCATTTCTATCTGCAGATCTGTAAGCCCTGGACCCTAACAATGAAATCCATCAGAGTAAAAACACAAGTTAGCACCTGTTGGTATGAGTTAGACATATCACCTTACTAAAGATCCATTTGTATCCCTAAATCAAGGTATATAAGCTCCTGAATGTATCTGAAGAGAAAACTTGATTATTGTTATTAATAAACACCAGTAACCATAATATACATAATTCATTGTAGTTTTTCAGAAAGCACCTCAATCTAGAATGATGAGACAGGAGGCTTCAAGAATGTAGCCAGTATTTTTGTTTATAAATGAGTTTAGAATTAAAGAAAAAAATCCATGAAAGATTAAAGAAAATATCATTAACTATCATTCTATTTCTTTAAGTGTAACATCTTATGACCAGAGAAATTCTAAGATAGAAAAAAATGGTAACAAGAATATATCTGCGTCCACTTCTGGTGGCTCCTGGTAGCTCCTGACAGGAGGGTGGATACTTTTAAATTGGCATTGAGATCACACACACACACATGTACGCACGTGCGCACACACACACACACACACACACACACACACAGTTTGCCAGAGGAAACAAATTTTTCATCCTGGAAACATATTTTCCCCCTCCTAGGGAGAACATACAGAGAAGGCAAGCATCATTCATTTTGCTATGTGCTAAACAAAGCAAAACAGAACAGCAACCAGACCCCAGCACTTACTTAAAAAAAGCATTTATACTAATTAAACGGGAAATGTGTATCAGATTTCCATTTCAGAGGTGGAAACCTTGACCAAATACCTGACAGAATAGCTGCTTTTGGCAATCTTGATCGTCAGGATCTGTGAGGCAATGACTGAGAGGACTTCTATATCGATTCGATTGAATTCATCAAAACAGCACCAAGCTCCCGACTGCACCAACCCGAAGAATAACTTTCCAATTATCTTAAAAAGAAGAAGAAAAGGATTGATTACAGAAACTATACAGGGAACATTTCTACCTGCATACTAAATTGAAGGTGTTCATCTCATCTTTTGATGCTCTAATCAACATGTGAAAGAAGTCACAGAGCTGGGGATTCGGGGATGGGGCTCAGTTTTACAGCACTTGCTTATCATGAGGGAGCTGAGTTCAGCTCCAGGAAACAAAACCCCCAAATTATAGTGCTTGGAAACTTTGCGTTAAATTTGTAACAGACACATGGAGGAATATCAAGCTTCAATAAAAATATTTCAAGATTTTATTAGACATGTTTTAAATAATTATCATTATTATTTTTATAATTGTTTTTGGTATTAATCATTGTAGCTTCTTTGACTTTAATAATTACCTTTTCAGTAAATAAATGTTCAGGCTAAGAACTTAAATTTGTAATAAAGACATACCCTTAATTATACATATACACACACACATACACACATATTTTTTATGCTTTGTTATGTAAGATTTTGTTTAAAAAGAATCCCACTGTCATAAAAATTGAGAATTATTGCTTTAAAGAATTCACTTGAACCATTTAACAAAAAACGAACACGTTTTAACTTTCAGCTAGGTTTTAGGCTTCTATTTTCTACTCATTAAGGGAACTAATAGCATTTATACTCTTATCTATGAATATTTTATATTTTTCTTAGCTTTTTCATTCCTCAATGAATTATTTTACATGCACATTTTTTTAAGTATATATGCTTAAGCTTTACCTTATAGTCCAAATCTTCAAAACAGTTGAAGACCACACAATGTTTACCAAAGCTCTGGGAAACAAAAATACTGTTTTAATATAGTTCTTCATAAAATAAAGACTCCACAAACATTCAGACTGCCAGGGTAAGAAATTATTTCTATTAAGTTTTTGAGGAAAAAAAATAGTATAAAAAATAAGTTATATACCAGGTCTAGAAAAGAAAACAGACCAGTGTGAGAAACTATTTCCCCCCTCCTCCCACACTATGACTCAGTTAGCTACTACTGCCCAGTAGTATTCTGGGTAAGTTCAAAGACAACTGAGATCCCAAGTCCTTTCCCAGATTAGGCAATTGAAGTTTAGTTGATGGGGTGTATCACTTAATGAATGTATTGGTAAATACAAAGAACATTCTAACAGCAAGAATAGTGTAAACTTAAGATACAACTAAATGACAGAAATTCTGGACATGGTAGCTACTTACTTTCGCTAGGTCCTTAAGAGTCTCAGTTTTTCCAGTACCTCCAGGCCCAGCAGTGCAGCCTCCCAGGTTAAAATAAAGTGCCTCAGAGAGAGAGAGCCAGCATCTTTCTGTGAGGGGAGTGATGACCAGCCTCGGGGCACAGCCCAAGTACTCATAGCCATAAACAAAACTGGTGTTTGCTTGAAGTACATAACACAGCTTCTGCTTTTCATTCCATTTATATTGCAAATGTCTGAAAGTAATACTCATACATTATTTGAGCAAAAACATTTTTTTGCATAGAGAAACAATCATTTTTAAACCCCTCATATTAAGAAGCAGCAATTAAGTAATCTCTCAACCAAACAGAGAGCCCAGGGCCAGAAAGATTCAGAGCAGAATAAATACTACCAGACACTCAAAGAAGAACTAATGCCAATACTTCCCAAATTATTCCACAAGATAAAACTGAAGGAATATTTCTAAATTCTTTTTACAAAGCCACCATTGCCTTGAGAGCAAAACCATACCTAGGTTAAACAATAAAGAAAACTGTAGACTGATGTCCCTTATAAATATAAATGCAAAAATTCTCAATAAAATACTTGTAAGCCAAATTCAAGAACACATCAGAAAGTGTCATCCATATGATCAAGTCGGCTTCGTTCTGGAGACACATGGACAGCGTGGCATGCCTAAATCAATAGACATAGCCCACCACATAAGCAAACCACATCATCATCATCATCTTAGATACAGAAGAGTCTTTGTGAAAATCTGACACTCCTTTGTTATAAAAGTCCTAGAGAGGCTAGGAATACAAAGGGAACACTTAAACTTAATAAGGCAAATTTATTCCAAGCCTGCAGCCACCATTGTCCTAAAGGGAGAAGAATTCAAAGCATTTCCATCAAAATCAGTCTCCTCAAATCTATTCAATACAGTGCTTGATGTCTTAGCTAGAACAATAAGACACTGGAAGGAGATCAAAGGGTTACAAATAGGAAAGGACGAAGTAAAAAATATATCCTTATTTATAGATGATATGATTGTGTACATCAAAGACGCTAAAGGTTCCACCAGGAAACTTCTACATCTGATACATACCTTCAGCAAAGTAGCGGGATACAAAATTAACACATGAAAACCAGTAGCTTCCTATCTATAAAAGACATGTGGACTAAGAAAGAAATCAGGAAAACAATACCCTTCATACTTTTACACCACTTTGGAAATCAATTTGGCAGTTCCTCGGGAAATTGGGAATAGACCTAAAGAAGCTAAATAACAAGTAGGGCCCAAGGTAGGATGCTTGAATCTAGCTGAGGAGGAAATAAAATAGACATCTGGGGAGTATGGAGGAAGGGAACTGGGAGAGAGAACTGGAATCAGTGTGTGTGGGGAGGGTGATAATCTCTGGACAAGCTAGAAATCTAGACAACGGAAACTCCCAGGGATCTATGAGGATGTCCCAGCTAAGACTCCTAGCAGTAGGAGATACAGAACATGAACCGGTCACCTCCTGTAACCATGCGAGACTTCTAATGGAGCGATAGGAATACCAACCCAGCTACAAAACCTTTGACCCACGATTTTTCCTGCCTATAAGAAGTGCAGGGATACTGAGGGGCAGAAAGTTAGGGAATGGCCAACCAATGACCATGGGTATAATGTTGTGCACTGTGTACAGATTATCCTTTCCTTATTCAAATGCTGATTTCTCTGCTTCCATATCTAGTTGCAATCTGGACATGACATAACGCTTATTCGCTTATTCTAAGAATCTCCTGTTTCAAGTTTGTGTAAACATTGCTCCCCATTTATTCTCTGACTTGTCAATAAGAGCTGGGTAGAAGAGAGAATAGGGCTGGACTTCCACCAGCCAGAGGAAGTAGGAGGAGAGGGAGGAGAAAAAGAGGATTCTCCATGAGAAAGCAGGTCTGGGAGAGACAGCATGGAAACACCCCTGAAGGCCAGAGAGCCAGACCAATATTAAATTGCAACTATCTCAGGGTTTTTGGCTAGGAGGTAGTCAGATTAGCTTAGAGGATTAGAATAGATTATTATTAACTGCTCAGTTATTGTATTGTCAAGCATATCAAATAAATTGTATCGTCTCTGTCTCATTCATTTGGGAGCCAGCAAGGGATAAAAAAAACCCTGCCACTTTAAAAAATGCATTTCTAAATGATTGGCTCAACTTGGGTCCCATTCTGAGAGAGAGAGAGACAAAGGGAGAGGGATGGGATGGGGGTAGGGAGGGAGGGAGGGAGAGGGAGAGGGAGAGAGGGAGAGAGGGAGGGAGAGAGGGAG